GTTAAAATATTTATTATTAGCACAATAATTAATTTTTCCCAAAAGATTACACTTTTCTTTATTTTCATATAATCAATTATGTATTATAATGATAAAATTATCAAAATTCGACGCTTTTTTCAAATTAATTTTTTATTTAATAAATAGTATTGTATTTTTACAGTTACATTAAGAAAATATATAAACGGCATTTGAAATCATCTTCATTTGTAACTTGCATTCTAGAACTTGAAAGTGCACACCGTTAGAATGTTGGTGTTTAAAATTAAATACCTAGGAAATTCTCAACCTGAAAAATAATTTATGTTTCACATTTATCATAATGTTTTAAAATTCCGTAGCACTCTTTCGGGTAAAAAGGTATGCATTACGACCTTAAAATATAGTGAAACGAAATTTTACTATCCTATTTTTAGAAATAGTGCATCTCGTGAAGAACGAAAGAATTGAATAAATAGTACCCTAACCATATGCTAGAAAGATAAGCATAATAGTCATGAAATTCCTGAAATAATAAAATAAAGTCGTCTGGTTATACCATGGAATTATATCGATGTCCTAAATCATTTAAAATTATTTTGAAATATCTCAAGTGTCTTAGGTTTTTTCAGAATCAATTTCATTCTTACCAGAGAAAATACGTAGGTATCATTATGACTCACTCACATGAAACTGATAACAATGTTCATTGCTTTATTACCTAATTTATAAAAGTGCGGCTTATTGACCCAGATAACATATATAATCGGTTAAACGGTTACTAATGTAAAGATGTAATCGATTCACACTACTTAAAGATAGGGCATACACATTTTAGTGGGAAAAATCCAGTGAGTAATAAACAAAATAAACAAAATCTTCCGGATCAGCTTCTGAGATGTGGAACCGCCAAATTCAATTTTTAATTCTTTGTTCTTCTGTGTTACGTAAGCCTACTTTTACCAAGTACCGGCCGGAGAAAAACATGACACAAATCATCTTTTTAAATCTTACGAAATTATTGGCATTACGAACTTTGCAACTATACTTCAAAAAACAAAAAACACGTCAAACACGTACTTTATATACAGGTTGAATCAATTATCTTAATAATTACTAAAGATAGAAAAAAGTTAAGACCAAAGAAGCATATTTTATTTTCAAAATTCAGTTGCAATGTTGCCTAGTTGTTCCAAATTTATTGAAATATTTGAATAATACATAGGTTGAAAAATATCGCAACATGGTCATTTTTAACAACTCTGTTACCTTATCTAATAGATAGATAAACAAAATATGTGCTTCATTTTTTATTTTATTGCCGTATTAATAAAATTGAATGGTAGAATAACAAGTGCTAATAAAAAAAATTAAAAATACTTTCCAAATCTGTTAAAAAACACTGAAAAATCGTAAACACTACGAACTTTCAATACAGAAAATATTTCACAAAAAAAATTAAATACTAGTGTTTTCCGTGAAAAAAAATACAATGTAGCCATTTGAAAAGTATAGAACTTTAGAATCTTTCTATAAACACAATGTGTACCACGATACATTTTTATTGATATACCTATATTACAACAAACCGCATACTTTGCCTTATCTATCCATTAAATATTGCCACACAGATGTTAAAAATAACCTCCTGCGGTTTTTTATGAACCAAAAAATATCAAGAATATTGGATTACTTGGAAACGTTGATTCTGAATTTTAAAATTAAACAGGGTTTTCAACTTTAACAAATTAAGTTTCTCTCCATAGTTGAACATAATTTTAAGTAATTTCAGTATATGTTGGAATTGTCGCAATTTTAATTTTTTTCTATATAGCCTAATTTTTTTATCAATTGAAAATGAAATAAATATCTAAGTATTGTATATCATCGTAATTTAACGACTAATTTTATTTCCGTTCAGTATAAGATCATTCTATCATTCAGATCACATAAAACCAATTACTGAAAAGGAGACAGGGTGGGTGGGCGGGGCTAATTATGTTCTTCTGTCGAGTGGAATTGGAAACTAATAATGGAATCTAGGATGTGAAAAAAGTAAAAAAAAGCGCCAATCGTAACTTTTGTTGTTATACTATTGGCTCTAAAATTTATTTCTTATTTCATGCACCTGACCTAACTTGACTTAACGGGACCTAACTTGTCCTGACTTCTCTATCGTCTCAAATAAACAAATTTTAAACGTTTCTGTGAATATATAAAAACCACAAAGTACATTCTTAAAGTAATTCTAATTTGTGAAACAAAAATTAATAATAATGTCATTTTTTTCCACGTACAAAATTTTTATATCGAGCTACTTTGACGAAACTGTAAAAACTGCTACATTTCAATTAACAATTTTGGAAAAGCGATAGGAATTTCTGAAGAAACAAAATGGCACTTTCTTAGAGGGTATGTCATGTACCAAAATCAGTCTTATCTTAGGAAGTACGAGCCCCGCCCACCCCCCTCTTCTCATTCTAACGACTAATTTTATTTCCGTTCAGTATAAGACCATTGTATCATTCAGATCGGATAAAATCAATCACTGAAAATGAGACAGGGTGGGTGGGTGGGGCTAATTATGTTTTTCTGTCGAATGGGACTGGAAAATAATATTGAAATCTAAAATCTGCAAGAAAATGTCTTCAACTAATTTTCGGACATGATTGAAAAATGGTCGAAAATGTCAAAAGTGACAAAATCGGTCTTATCTTATCAAATACTAAGCCCGCCCACCCACCATCTACTTTCTTTTAAGAGGCCTTGTCATTTACCAAAATCAGTTGATCTTAGCAAGTACGAGCCCCGCCCTCCCGCCCTCTCTTTTCTTGGAAGGTATGTCATTTGCCAAAATCAGGCTTATCTTACAATACTAGCCCCGCCCACCCGCCCTCTATTTTCTTCAAACGTATGTCATTTGCCAAAATCAGTCGTATCTTGGCAAATACTAGCTCCCCCCCTCTTCTCATTCTAACGGCTAATTTTATTTCCGTTCGGTATAAGATTATTCTATCATTCAGATCAGATAAAACCAATTACTGAAAAGGAGACAGGGTGGGTGGGCGGGGCTAATTATGTTCTTCTGTCGAGTGGGAGAGGAAACTAATAATAGAATCTTGGATGTGAAAAAACTAAAAAAAGCCCCAAGCTTTTTTTAGTTACAGTATTTGCTATAAAACTTATTTCTTATTTCATGCACCTGACCTGACCTGTCCTGACTTCTCTATTGTCTCAAATAAACAAATTTTAAACGTTCAATTAGCAATTTTGGAAAAACAGTAGAAATGTCCGAAGAAACGAAGCCGAAAATAACTTCTGGATATCCAAGACTGCAAGGAAATGTCTTCAATTAATTTTCGGATATAGTTGAAAATTGGCCGAGAATGTCAAATGTGCCAAAATCAGTCTTATCTTATCAAATACTAAGCCCGCCCACCCGCCCTCTCTTTTCTTGAAAGGTATGTCATTTGCCAAAATCAGTCTTATCTTAGCAAATACTATCCGCCCCCCCCCTCTTCTCATTCTAACGACTAATTTTATTTCCGTTCAGTATAAGATCATTCATTTCGTTCAGATCCGATAAATTCAATCTCTAAAAAGGAAACAGGGTGAGTGGGCGGGGCTAATTATGTATCCAAAGTTAGTAATATCGGGTGTTTAACGGAAAAAAATCATCAAGCCTTCATTTTTTGTAAACATTGTCCAGTGTGTCTACAATAAACCTAAAATTTAATCAATGACAACTGACAACGCGAAAATGTCAATTCTACACAATAGGATAAATTAAAATAAAAAAACGCGTGCGTTTTTCGCTACGTTTTCTTCTATCAAAAAAGCAACGCCAACTTGATGACTTGAACACCAGTTATTATCACTATGTTGTGACGCACATTTTTTTTTAAATTGAGACTTTAAAAAAAATGTACTTCCACACAAAAAAAAATATATACGAATCTTCGACGCACACAGAACTGAAGCATTGAGCACGCGTTTCGTGAGTTCACATTTTGGCGACTGTAACAGCGTTCAAGGTCAATTAAAGTATAAAACTTGAATAAAAGTGCACTTACACCGACAGGGCAATAAAAACACGGTCAAAGACAGCCATGGATTTTTGAAAGCTTTCGAACTGATGGTAACCCGGCACGACGAAAACTGTATAAAACAAATCTTCAAAAATCCATGGGTGTCTTTGATCGTGTTTTTGTTGCTCTCCGAGTATTCAGCGCACTGTTTTTTTTCTATTCGTTTTTAATGTAAAATGAAAAAGGTGTAATGAGCGGTTTAGCAATTTTATATATTTTTCCTAATTTAAAATAAAAAGTCGAATAAATAACAACAAATAACAATTAACAGCAAACTCGTTTTTTAAACACTCTTTCCGCTGGTGTTTAAAATAAACTTGGTCATGACTAAAGAGGCGTTTATAAAACTTGCTACATAATACACTATTAAAGTTTAAGCGTCGAGTAAAATCTCGTTCGGTGATAATTTCAAAAATATTTCAACCATCAAAAAATGAAGTTATTTTTTTAATTTAGTCAGTAATGCATGAAAGTTACAGACAATTTCAAAAATATTCCAAAATATGTTGACAAACAACAGAAAAATGCAATTTTAATGAAGTATGAAATGAAAATTCAAGAAATAAATATCAAATTTGAACACTAACCCACACGAACGGAAAACATTGTGTGTTAAATTGTGCTAGGTCTTAGGGTGTTCTGAATTAGCCTTATCACCACGCGATCTCTGCTACGCCCCAAACGTAAACCTGAGTATTGGCTTAAGCTGACGTTTCCCCACAACACCGACTTCAAAGTCAATATTGTTTACTTTTTCTTGCCAACTGAACCAGATAACCCTGCCGCTAAGCAGTCTTTCGCCTGAAGCCGCCCCTGCATATCCCGTATCACCCTAAATAATCCACAAACACGGTATGACATCGCTTATTCAGTATTCAAACAAGCCGTGTTTGTTGATACTAGAATTCCGGAGTACGCGCTTAAAATACTCACATTGTACCGATTCATATTCAAGAGCCTCAATTCATCGTTGGAATTGTTGTTTTGCTGTACTCTCTTCCGCCAACCGGACTCGCCGCTCTGCTGCAGCTTCGCCTGGATTTCTTCAATTGCCCGAGGCATGGCTGATTGGGTCTGAGATCTTCTAATCGAAGTTCCTTTACGATTTGTCGACTCGCTTTCATCCCCGAAGGTGCTCTGACTTTTGCTTTTGGACAAAACACTTTCCAGTCTTTGTCTGTAAGAACAAAACACTGTTATGATTCGAGCAGGTGGTTTTGATAACATGCGCGATTATAGTAGAACAAACAAGTCATATTTACTTTATTGTGCAAACAGGGCGTTGTGTTCCGAATGGATTTTCCAGCGGTTGTAAAAAATGTTGTTTCGTTATAAAACTACTTTCCTATTTAAATCTAGATTCAACGAAGCGACGATGCAACAAATTGATACGGTTAGCGTTACATCCACGCTTGTAAGAGAACACCTTACGAGAGCACTGGCTGTAGATGGTCTTGGTAATAATTGGCTATTAAAATAATGTCGGTACGGAATAAATCCATTGAGGAGATAAAAACACATGGAACAACGTTCAAGCGTAAACTAATGTCTCTAATGTTGAATGTGGCTGCTCATCAAATGTGATGATGACTTACAAAGTGGATTTAAAAAGCAAGGTCATGGTCAGAGTGTGTGTAAATAATAGACGAAATAAACAAACACGTAGAAAGTTATATTCCGGCACACTAATGTTTTTACTTAGCACCTTCCAGTTTTCTTTATACGAAAAGTGAATAGGTAATAATTACATGTTAAAAAATTACTTCCTAGTTCGATATGGGCAGGAGACGCAATAAAGAGACACAGCAGAATTATTAGGTCCATTGTAAAAAGAGAACCTTGACTTGACAAAACTTTCTAATGTCATTAAAGATTACGACTTTTAGAGTTACAGTAAAACACTTTCAGACAACGCAGTTCGTCTCTTGTTTACCAACTTCTTCAAAGAGATAACATTTCGGTAAACAGTTTGCGTAAAAGTCACATCGCTTAGTCATAATTGTAATCTCTTTACGACACAAACTCGTTAAAAAAGTTAAAAACGTAATCACTAATCATGGTTGCTAGGACACAAAAAAAAACAGTGCTTGATAAAAAATAAATATAATGTACTGAGTGGCGTGACATATTGCCAATTCGTTAAATTCTCGATTTCAAAAAGCGCCTTAAAATTTTGCACAGATTAATATAAAAATGTTATTTCTATTGCATACTGACCGCCAAAAAAACGGCCACTTGAAATCTCGCACTATTTCTGTTACTTTCTTAAATTAAATTTAATTTTGCATTTGTCTTTTTTTAGCTAATTTGTACATCCTGTATCGACAATGAATTATTCATTAATAAAATAAATCAATAGGTTTTTTGGCGAACCAGTGTATATAATACGAATATTCGCGTTAGAAAAAGGTTTCGCTTTTGATTTCACTATATTTCGAAAGCTATTTGAAAATTTGTTTAATTGGTTCTCAAGCGCAATCTTAGAAATTGTTGTATACCGGGGTCCATGTGACGAATGGCAAATTTTACGTTCTCCGGACGTTCCGTTGCTCCTAGAATATAAAAAATGGGTCTCCCGTTTCCGTCTGTTAATGATTTTATTAGACAAGTGATCTCCGAAACTACTGGACGTACTACGTAAGTTTTACCGTAGCTTTTATCACAATTTATTTGTTCACCTTCTTCAAAATTTGATGACGTTCTCGCAGCACGATTTTACAAAATCAATCTCATTTGAAATAAAAAACAAAATAGGGAAAATGTAACTATTCCCAGTTTCTCAGTACATGCTTAAATTCGAATGCGCATATGTATGTACTTCGAAAAAATTCGACTATGAGAAAGTTAAGATTATATGCATCTGGGCTTAAAAGAAATTGAAATTTCATTGATTTTGTTTCCTCAACGCAGATGGGAGGATTCATTAATTAATTAAGCAGATTCACACAATATTCGGTTATCCAATTTTAAAGTAAATTGTTGTTACACAATTTTGATTTTTATCTGGATGCCAAGGGTAAAAACTCAACACGGATTCATAAAGCACAAGTGCAAAAGTATCTTATTTTATAACATTTAAATAATATTTACAAATGTAAATTCTGGAAATGACGTCAGCCTATTGTCGGTGGGGATTAGCCAAATTTTGGTTTACGTTTTATCTACATAATATTCCTAGTACACATATAAAATTTGACAATACTACAGTAGTTTCGAAGATTGTCTATCTAATAAAAATCCGAACAGACGGAAACGGGGGACCTATTTCTCGTACTCTTAGAGTCGCAAAACGTAGAAAAAACTTGAAAGTAGCCACTCGTCCGATGGACTCAATTACAGTAAAAATTGGTTTAACGTTATTTAAACAAAACTTTCCCTGCCTCTGAAGTACAGTAAAAAATTCAGCATCTTCCGAAAATAATAAAAATGATAGTTAAGTTAAAATAAAGGTATCTGCAGAGTATTTAAAATATGAGTAAAGAAAAAGCAGGTTTTCCCATAACAAAATTTTGTGATGATATCATCACCATTTTATCAAGGACACATATCAGTTTGAGTAGGGCGCCGTGTAATACTAATAATAACAATAACATGTATTCTCAATGGAGTGACGTGTTTAAACCCTGTGTGAAATGTTATTATGCAATTTTAAAAATCAAGGCGGATTTATAAGCCACAAATACAATTATGTTATTTTATAAAATTTACATTTCAAACACAAACGGAAACAGGGAACGCATTTCTTCTTACTCTAGGGGCATGAAACTTCAAGACAACATGAAAGTAGCCATTTACTGGATGGACCTTACTACAATTATCCCTTAGCTTATTCTCGCGAAGTAAAAATTAATTAAATCGTACATATATACCTACCATTGATTAAATCAAAACTGGTTTATCTCACTGTCTATATATATCACTGTGGACATTTTTTAATACAGTAACATTAACATACTTAAATGCTTTCACTTTAATTAGGAAGACAAAAAATAGTGATACAAGCTAAAAATGGAAGAACTTTAAAAGACCATGAATACGGCACAATCTCTTAAAAACAAATATATGTTTGTTATCAATGCAGAACAAGTATTTTGAAATGTTCGTAAAGTGATTTATTTATTTATAAATGTCAATAGAGATAAAGTTGAGCCATAAAATTAGAAAAAATTAAAATTAATCGATTGGGAAGTACTTTTATATCCCTACAATTATATAGCCTTCTAAAAACCTGAAAATAACCATTACAAGGCACACTATTTTGTATTTTCATGTCTAAATATACTTGTTGTCTTCTTTAGACGTCAAGTTACACAAATAAGTCTCAATCAATTCAAATGCAAGTCGTGATGGAAGAGACTCTTTACTTCAACACGCTATTATTTTAATTAACAATGCTGAACATGCCTTCCGTCGTCCCTAGTTTGTTTCTTATGCTAAACATGTAGCAAATGAGTATCCATTTGTGCAATTACGCATTTGATTTAAACTGAAGTGGTAAAATACACCACAGGAAAAATGAAATAAAATTATATGTTATTCCAAAAACAAAAATTCACCAACACCGCAATTTCTTCGAAAATTGGTTACGCTGCAAGTGTGTTGACAGTTTTTTCCATTTTTAAACAAGCCTTTACTCCAAAAATTGCACTGTCCAGTAGAAGGTAAAATCCCGGTAAAATGATAGAGAGATAATGTTTATTGGAAAGAAATGTGATGATAAACTTATGATATGTGTATTAATCACAGCCAGTCCTAAATAAGTTTCTAAAGAAATTAGCTCAGAACCTTCGGCGTAAATCCAAGATATGAAGCTCAGTTTAGTTTAATATTAGCAGTCACTAACCTTAACGCATTAAACATAATTAGTAGAACGCAGTTGCTTTCATTGTCAATTTTCAAATAGCACTTTCCCCTCACTAACAACACATCTTTCGGATCTAAAAAACATCTGTCACGAGCTTCGGTTGCTTTTCACAATCGTGCAAATTGAGGTATCCAAAAACCGAGGAAATAAAAAAAACAATTTTCCGTTATTTGAAAAATACAATCAGAAGTTATTTCAGGTACTTCTTCTTTGACTCTATTCAAGAAAATGGCAAATAAAAATAGTCCACGTCTAGAAGACAATAAATAATAAATAACCCATTTTAATATTTTAAACTGCAATTCCAGGACAAAATACCTGCTACTGATATCAGCGCAACCATAAATACTTAATTTAGTAGAACACGTCATATAAAACGAACCCCCCAGTTTATTGATGACAAATTCCTATTTATGTAAGGAAGCCAATCCTTGGGCGTTAATTTATAGGTTGGGTACTTCGTTGTACTCAAATAAATGACTTAACCGCGATAGTTTCAATTCAATTTAAATTCTAATGAACCCAGAATCAATTATATACACAACATGCCATAACGACACAAGTATGTTCTACACAAAACAGAGCTCAACCGTAACTTTAAGCATCCCCGAAACAAACTTAACACACTCCTCCCAAAATAACTCGAACCCAACCAAAATGCATTTGCTGCAACCCAAGTAATTTCGAAACCGAACAAAAATAGAACAATCAGTGTTTTCACGGTCCCCCGGGAAACGATAAAGGACACCATCACGACCTTAATAAAATAAAAGAACGTGAACTGTCACGAACGACGCCACCCTAAAAATAAAAAGAGCTGCGAGGAAGAGGAAAGGAAGTTCAAGAACGTTACCCTTTCGATTCGTGGGAAGGGCGTAATTAATGAAACGTTAAAAAGAGCCCAGCGGTGTCAAGAAGTCAGGAAGAACGTCACTTTGACGTAACGAGTACACGAGATCCGTTCATTTGGTCTTGGATCCTCCTGTGTTACGTCGGTCGCCGTGTTGCCGGGTTTATTGATCGGCTAATAAATGTTTGTCTGGCGCCCTTTGCACTGTCTGCACTGATATTGCGTTAGTTTAGAGAAGGGTTAGTAATCGGGAAGTTTGCCCATATTAAGTGAAGTTTCGTGTTATGGGATAGGGTCTGGCGTCATGTGTGTTCGGAATGAGCGCTAATGAGACCAATTAACAGTAAAACTTACAATTTCCACGTTTGTTTTATGTTTTAAGTGGAAACGGAAATTTTCGACAAGGCGTACCGTTGATAGTGCCTGCACGTGGGAGTACCATAGAATGGAGGGCAACACCACA